ATATTAAGCTTGATTTAACTGTCATTTAATAATTGAAAACAAATTCTATAGTACATTTTAAAATTTTCACATCGAAGTCTTGAGATACTTTTCACTTATCTTCTTCGAGTCTGAGACCTTAGTACTTATGAGATTACACTACTTTTGCAAGTCGTATGATTTAATATATAGCTTTGGCCATAATCTCCTTGTAGATCATTATCAATCTATCTATTCCCATAATCCCATTTAACGATTTTCGTTTATGTTTGTTCATAAGCAACTACCGTTTAAAGCTTAAATGTTTTTCGAGGGGAACAAAATTTCCCAAGGGTAAAGAGATTGGCGTAATCGACTTAACTCGAGCCTTTTTCAAGGGCTCAGGAGCTCCTACTCATGAAGATATTAGACCCGTTTGAAATTCGTTTTAAAATGATTTTATTTTTTGTATAAAAATGAAAACGTTTTTAATTTTAGACATAAATCATTTTTGAAAATGTGTTTCGTAATTTTATCAATAGATTATTTTTAGTATAAAAAAACTCATTAATGTCTCTCTCTCTCTACTCGAGAGAAGAAAAAACGAAAATAAAAAATAAAAAATGACTAAAAATCATTTTATATTTTTCTCTCATTTTTACTAAACAAAAAAATCATTTTTATTTTTATTTTTTATTTTTATTACGATAAACGTCATTTTAAAAACGTATTTTTTCTTTCTCAAAAAAGCTATTATTTTCCGGACTAGAGTTCTAGACCACTAAAGTGGTCACGAGTCAAAGATATTTTTTCTCTGACACAGAAATCTTTCTTTTGTGGTCCATTTTTCGTCGCCTGCAATATTCGTCTAGCTGTTAGATTAGTGGATCTGTGACAAAACAACTGACATAGATTGGGAAGCACCTATAGCGCATTATGCATAGATTGGGAGGTGCAACATTGACAGAAAGTGGTCCTCTACATAACATAGATAGCTATTGAAAAGCCAATAATATGGAGCTAATTGCTTTGAAGTTGCAAATAAATGCTCTCCAACCACTCTAATTAAGTAAATAAAACTAGCCAACAAACGAATTTAGACAATTATAAACGTCTGGTCGTTTTTCTTGTTTTACTCTTCCAATGCTAACCAATTTTACACTTTTTTTTCTTGTTTTTTTTTTTTTTTTAATTTTATTTGACACCTATATGAGTCCAGGTAATTAATTAGTACTTTTATATAAAGCGTGTTTGACTTCTGTTTGTCTACCAACCAAAATTGACATCCGAAATTTGTGGCTTTATTATTTGGTGGACAATATGACCAAACAGATTAAAGCAAAGGAGAATTTAAAAAAAAAACACAGAAAAACTGGGATGTTTGGTTGTATGATTCAAACTATGATTTAAATCATGGTTTATGGTTCGTTACAGTATTTTCTCTCACAAAAAAATATACATAAATCGAAAATGGTTCTAATCACATGATTATAATGCATGAACTAAACGTCTCCGAGAGATTTTTTAATACGTCTAGCGTATCGATAGATCAAGTTTTTTTAACTGTTAAATATGTATATTTTTTTTATTTTTACGTAATCTTATATAAATCTAATAGACAAAAAACGTAACCTATCAGTATGCTGTCAAAAAGGCCCCAAAAACAAAATGGAACTTCTATCTCCAAGTTTAAGTGGGATGTAGGTGTACCAGATCAGCAGGTAATGATGTATATGCCCAGGTGGCAACAAAGGGCAATATTTCACTTGAAAATTCATGTTTTTAAACAAAGAAGAATAGAAGGAACTAAGTTAGGGTGGTGACTTGGTAGGTGGAGCATCCATTTTAGGTGGTGATCACACATGAGATTTTGGGGTAGAACTATAGGTGTGGCAGTTGCGTTTTGAATTTGTTTATTGGGTTTGGTAACAAGCCTTGAAAATGGCTGTTGGGTTGTGACAATGGCATTCTTCATGTTTGGTTCTATTATATATTTAGTGTTAGCGCGTAATATGGATAACAATTAACATAAAAATTAACATTTTGTTATCATATGAGCATACGATATATACAATTAAATAAAGATTAAGCAAATGGACGTACCACTTCTCTTCTATTCACGTGTATGACTCGCTATCAAAATATGGAAAAATTTTCAATGTTAAATTCGATTATCCTTTCCTTTCTAATAAATCCTTTGCTTTTCTTTTTTCTTTTTGTCTTTCCTTCTCCATAGCCATTATTATAGAAAGTATTTCTAATATCGTTGATAAAGAATTGCAAGCATGTATAAAATTATTATCATTATTTTTTTTGCACGCATGTATAAAATTATGTACACATACTGATATGCATGTTTCTTAATTTTGCTTTCTGTTAAACGATTTCTTCCTTTCTATTTATGGCACCTTTCTTTTTCTTGTCAAGAAATAGAAACAATTGTTCATCCACGTTTTTTCAGATAATTTAGTGACAAATACTAAGGGCTTGTTCATTTGGAGTTTAACTTGAGTATAATTCTTGAGTTAAATTTGAGTTATAACTTGAGTTTGTGTTTGGTTGTATATATTTGAGTTATGGTTTGAGATAATAATTTTTTTGAGTTTATGTTTGAGTGAGTCAAAACTTGAATTTATATTTAGATAGTATTTTAATAAAAACTCAATGCTGATGAAAAATTTTAATAGGGTATATAGGTCAGGTTTTATTCATCTTTTCGTTGTCAACGCATAGAAAAAAAAATCATCTCAATCAGAATTAAAACGAAAAAGTTATAGTATTTTTAAGAATAGAAAAAATACTGTTCATTAATTTGAGTTCAAGTTTCTGAACTCGAGTTGAATGGGAAACTTGAACTCGAGTTTTAGTCCTAAACTCGAGTTTGAACTCGAGTTTAAACTTAAAAGAATATAAACTCAAATAAAATTGTAACTCGAGTTGTATTTTTTAAAATTTTTCACTCAAAGAACAAGTCCTAAATATAGTAAAAGAGATTCAATTTTAGTGACGTCTTCTCTATGCCATTTTGCTCAAAATAACGCTTCCATTTTTAATACTTTTAAAAAATAAAAAATAAAAAATAAAAAACTAAAATCCACATTGTCTGCACATAAGGACCCGTCGTTGATGACGTAAACGATTGACCAGATTTTGTTCTCATTGGATAACGACAGTAAATTTTCGAACTGACATCACCACTCTTTTTCAGGAAACGATATGTCGTTTTAGTATGACGCATTAAATTTGGAACCGTGAGCGACATGTCGTCTAGTATGCAAACGGCAAAGAAAACTTGGGCGGTGCGTTAGGGCATACAAATTTTTGGGGATAAACAACAGTAATTTTACCACGAGCCACGCGGAAGCCACGTTTAAGTAGAAACGACTGCCCATTTAACCGGATCAATTATTGTAATAAATCTAATACATGTTCCGTGATTAATGCATTCAAAATTTGACCTTTCTCTTCAACAAACGACATTAAACTTAAACTAGGAAAACTACACAACGACAAATATTTAGCGCAACATTACTTTTCATTTAAAAATATGGCATTCAAATAAATATTTTCTGCATGTATTTTAGGTGGATTTATTCACAGAATATACTATTTACTTTGGACATTAGCCTTTGTATGTTAGACCATTTTGTGTATGTATTAAAATATTATGCTAGACTAATCAATACTCAATTTTAACCAAGAGCGTTGGTGTACCAGTTAAATTCTGCTGCCAGAAATGATTATAGAATGCCTTGAAAGAACTATAAAATATATGGAAAATTTAAATACCATAATAGAAAGAATTAATCAATTAATGAATAACTTAGCCAGACATAATTTGTAGATAGAATATTACTATTTAAAATAGAAGTAGAACTACGTAAATAATATAGCATAGAATTGTGTTATCAGATAGGACGACTAGAAAATGAGTATAGATGATATATTTTATGAATAAACCTAAAATCCATTTCCATTGTGAATTTCCCTTAAACAAACCACATTAGATATTCAAAAAACTATATGTCGTTTGAGTGAACAGGAAACAAATCATGTCGTTTGATGATTAGCGAGATATGAGCGACATATCGTTTATTAAATAAACGACAAAAAACCTTCGAATTTGTGGAGTTTGTCTCATAAACGACGGTAAACTTTCAAACAAAATAATATGTCGTTTCGTGTCAATCAGCATGTTTTTCCAGAGCAAGGCATTAGACGAACAGAGGAAAGGTATCAAACGAAGAAGCTCCAACGAATGACAATGGCGTCCTCCAGAAAATCAGCACCGGAGAAGAAAAGCGAAGAAAAAAGGAAGAAGCCGAGCAAAGGCAACACAAATAGCACGAAGAGAAGAAAGGACGACAAGAACAAGACCTCCAATGGTGGCGACGTTCCGGCTACTCCATCCTCGCGCTCCGACTCCCAATGCGACGTCGAAAACGGGGTTGAGATTACCCAAAAAACCACCGGCGGCAAAAATCCCCAACAGAAGGCGAAAAGAGAGCGAAAGAAAGGGAAAGAAGAGAAAGAAGACGCGATGATGAATAAATTCCCCATGGAAAGGGTTCGGAGGATCATCAGGAGCGAAGACTCCGGTATGCGTATCACTAATGAAGCCGTTTTTCTTGTCAATAAAGCCACGGTATTGTCTGAATTTTCCTCTGCCATTTCCAATTGAGTGATTTGGTTAATCTCTGTTAGAGATTGCGTTAGGGTTTCCTTTTGGGGCATATATATTGGTGACGTTTTATGTTTTGTGTGTTTGAATGCAGGAGAAATTTCTGGAGAAGTTCTGTGAAGAAGCGTATAAGGGTTTAGTTCAGGATCGTAAGAAGTCTCTTGGTTACAAGCATCTTTGTAAGTTATCTTTCTATTTCTTTTTGTTTTGGAGGAATTTTTAGCTTGTCACTTTGTGTTTGATCACCAAATTTCACCAATTAATTCAATTGTATGTAATCAATCCACAAAGGTGTTGGAAGCCGTTGAAATAAACACAAAGGCTTATCATTCAGGTCAATTAATAAGCTTTGAAAAAAATTTCAGATTAGTTTCATGAAAAGGCAATTTCCTTTAGAGCATTTTCAAGGGAACTCTATATTTTTTTAGCTAAATTCTAGCTAAAATCTAGCTAAAATGGTTAGAAAGCTATTTTAATTAGCAACTTTTTGTTAATTAACTCCAATCATACTCTCTATTTTGACTAAACATAGATTATTTTAATATTTATTGAATTTAAATATAAATAACTTTATTTAATCTAAAAAAGAACCTTTACATTTATTGAGCATGAAACAATTAAATAATACAAAAAACAAATAGCTAGCCACTTCTTGTTAGCTATATTTAGCTTGTGTGAAATGAATTCTCTAAAATAGCTAACAATTTAGCTTTGTTAGCTAATGGTTGGAGTGGAGAAAAGCTAAATTCTAGCTAAATCATTAGCTATTTTAGCTAAAAACATGAAATAGCTAGCATGGTTGGAGTTGGTCTTACAAGGTAAAATCTGTGATCGTGATTGGAGCAGTGGTTTGTCTAAGAACCTAGGGGGTTTTCCTGCTTGATAAATGTAGTCACCAAATTGGAGCTAAAAAATTTCTGGCTGACGCCTAATTGTTTCGGGGAATAAGGATAGGCCAAATATGACGGGGTAGAATTAGAAATTGGTTGTAGACTTCAGAGAAGAGAATGGAGGCATCCGTCAGCATAGGAAGGCCCGTTGAGCAAAGCTCTTTCTTGTTTTTGGTCTTGCCGTGAAGTGAAATTGTATTGTATATTAGTTAGAGAGGTTAGCAAACTACTATAATCTATAGATTGCCCATCTATATCCAATCCCTGCGAGAATAGAAATGAGTGGCTTCTGGCCTAGCTTGGCTTGTAGCCGTAGTCTTTTAGCTTATATAGTGGTGATATGATTGATTATCAAGGTATGATTAATTGGGTGGCATGGATTTTCCTTTTCCTTGTTTTTTTTTTTTTTTTGGGTCCGTTAAGGGGGCTTAGAGTTACTTAAGTTTGATAGAGTTAAGACATTTAGTTTTGGTATTCAGCTCAGGCACTCATAAGAATCAAGCATTCTAGTCATATGATAACTAATATACTTTTTTGGTACTTGGAAGACATACTTTATTATGTCGTCCATGCAGGTAAATATTCTTTTAGGGTTCGTTTTTTGGCTAATCAGTGCAGGTGAAGATGATTATTTTTTACATTGAAAACTCATTACGGACAACTTTTCACTTGATAGAATTATAGAAATGAAGAAGCCACATTCAATGAAGCTTTGAGAGTGTGTTGAGACTTCAAACCATCAGTGATATTACTAGATTTTCCATTTTTCTCCTAGATATATGATAAGCCTCCTTTGCGTTTTACCTATGTGCGGAGGAAAACTCGTGAGAGGATTGTGGCTGGTGCAGGGGAGGACAGTGGAGGCGCGAGTCAGGGAGGTAATGCTGGGCAGGGTGATGAGCTGGCAAGCTGGGGGCGGTTATGTAGGAGATAGTTAGTAATTAGTTGGTTAGGCTGTGTGTAAGGGGGGAAGTTAGAGGGAAAGTTAGTTACTGGAATAAAGGAGTATAAATAGTTAGATAATACCTGGGAGGAAATTCATTCATTCATACTTTGAACTTCTGAGACAAGTTTAGATTTGGGAGTGCAAGGGGTCACTCGAACACCCCCATACCGAGGTTCAGATTATGTAACTTTTCTGCCATTAATTCAGTAACTTTTCTGCCATTAATTCAGTAATTGAGCTTGCGATTCGGCTCGTTGTGCATAATTCTGGTGTTGATTGTCTTGAATTGTTCTATATTTCTCTACGTGCTTATCAATTGGTATCAGAGCACTTTCCCGGGATGACGAGAAGGACTGATGATCGCGACAAGGATAGAGCGGAGGGAAGTAGGGAAGATTTGTTGAAGGAGATGGAATTGATGCGCGAGGATGTTGGGAAAATACCTCGATTGGAGCAAGGGCTGGAATTGCTGTTGACAAGGATGGACGAGTTGCTGAAGCAGCGGGGTACCGCAGACCGGGAGTCTCCGGAGGCGGAAAACGGAATTCCGGTTGAACAGTCGGCTCCGACGGCGGAGACGGGAGAGAGAGTGGCGGAATGGCGAGAGGGAGGAGCAGTCGGCTCCGACGGCAGAGACGGGAGAGAGAGTGGCGGAATGGCGAGAGGGAGGAGCTCGCGCTGAATTTCGGACCCGAAGGGTGGAGATGCCGGTTTTCGACAGCGAAAATCCAAATGGGTGGATTTTTAGGGCAGAGAGATTTTTCTCCATGAATAGGTTGTCGGAGATGGAGAAACTGGACGTGGCGGTGGTGAGCCTCGAAGGGGAAGCCCTAGCTTGGTTCCAGTGGGAAGACCGTAGGCGAGCGATCCGAGATTGGTTGGAAATGAAACGGATGGTTCTGGAACGATTCCGTTCGACACAAGAAGGAACTCTTTGTGAGAAGTTCTTATCGTTGCACTAGGAAACTACGGTGAGGGAGTACCGCTGGCAATTCGAGACCCTGGTCGCGGCATTAACGGAGGTTTCAGAGCAAGTTTTGGAGAGTGCGTTCGTGAATGGACTGAAACCAGAGGTGAGAGCTTTTTTATGTTTCATTCTCTCTTTTTGTTTATACTCTTTAGAATTTGCTTTTTCCCTATTTTGTCTTTTTTGATCAATACCTCAAATTAATGTAAAATGTTTTTTCGCTGAAAAGATGTAACAATTATGTTTGTTATGCTCATATTAATGTTTTTTATTTTTCTAAAAAAAGTTGTAATAGTAATTTTTTTTTATTGTATGAGAAAAGTCTTCATGCCCAAAACTTCGAAAAAAATAAAGAGAAAGAAATAATAATAATCTTAAATAAAAAATTTAAAAAAATAGGGGTGTGAAAAGAAAGTAAAATGTTTAAAAGTATTATGTTATGAAAATAGTTGGGGATAATCTTGAAATAATAAGAGTGTAAAAAGTAAATTTGATCCTTTTAAAATTAAGTGAGGTGTGTATTTAGAAAGTAGGTGTAAAGAGTAAAAAAAAAATGTGTGAAGAGAACCACACTTTTGACAATTTTGTTCTCCTATCTTTTATTTGTCCACTTTTAATATCCCCGATGCCAACCAACATTTCCATATGGAAATAGTAGAGGGTATCGTAGAGGATCATACCATCCAAAATAGTTTTCAACTTTATGAGTATATCAGGAATGAGAATAAACAATTATATCAAAACCTTTGTATTCTACGACATTATCATCTAACCAGATAGCTGCAACTTGCAAAGCTAAAAGGATATTGTATACTCTTTGATCTAATTCAATATCACTTTTGATACAAATTGTATAACTTGGTAAGTTGGTTATATCTTTAAGATAACGGGAAAAAAGAACAATATAGATTAATTTTTAATATATCTATTATTTTACTTGTAATCGATGCATTTCAATTAGAAGAATTCTAAATTCGATTTTTTATTTCATATTCAGTATCATAGGAATATAGTTGTAAATTACTTAGATGATTATTTGTTTAAATAAGATCGTTAAGATAATGATAAACTTGTCCTTGAACTCGAAAAGTATAAACACCTTTATTCCGTTTACATAATTCTTCATCATATCTAACACCGAATGAAATAAAAGCGAAATTATTATTATAAATTTGAATATAAGTTCTGAAATGTGAAGATTCTTTCGATGCAGAAGGTTTCTTCGGGAATATCATTTGTAATCAATGCTATTTCTCCGTTACAACAACAAAATTTTCTCGTCTCGTGAGCAAATTTCTTTGCATTGCAATATTAACATGATGTAGGTGATATCAGTTTTTCAGGTTCGTTTACAATATTTGTAATGCGTGGTCTTTGTGTACACTCTTATTATATTGATCTTCTGACAAGAAATTTGAACAAAATGAAACTAGAAATAGAAAAATTAATAAAGTAATTTAAATAAAATTTGGAAGAAGATTGTATTTGATACCTGTTGAATTTTGAAATCCACTATGTTCCTTTGTTTGATTTATTCGCTCCGATGTTTCACCTGAAATGAGTTTCAGGATGCTTTCTATAAATCATAACTAACATAAATCCTTCATAATATTAAAAGAGAAGGATCAGAGTAATTCTTACCAATTTCGAAATTAAGACCTCCAAATTGCCTTATATTTGTCCTGTTGTTTGTGTCTAATAGTTCTACCTCTTCAAGTAAAGGCAAAGGGAAAACTGGATAAAGCAATTTTAGAGTTGTATAAATAATTCACAAATATTAATAATAACTAATAACGAATTAGTGATGCTTCAAAACTGTATAGTACTGTTGTTTATCAGATTCATTTAAATCAGTAAAGACTTCTTATAGTTGAATCATACAAAATTTCAGCCATGCTTTTTTCCACAACCGAGCATAACTTCTTATAAGCCTCCTTTGCGTTTTACCTACGTTTTCCACAACTGAGCATAACTTCTAATAAGCCTCCTTTGCGTTTTACCTACGTGCGGAGGAAGACTCGGGAGAGGATGGTGGCTGGTGCAGGGAATGGTAATGGAGACATGAGTCAAGGAGGTATTTCTGGACAGGGTGATGAGCTGGCAGGGCAGAGAGATGAGCTGGCAAGTCATGAGTGAGCTGGTGAGTCAGGAGGCGGTTATGTAGTAGATAGTCAGCAATTAGTTGGTTAGGCTGTAAAGTTAGGGGGAAAGTTAGTTACTGGAATAAGTATTGTATAAATAGAAGGGAAGGGGATTCATCGAGGATTATCTTGAATTTCTTAGACAAGTTAGAATAGGGAGTGCACGGGGTCACTCGAGCACCCCCATACCTAGGTCACCGATTTGTATTCTTCTGCCATTAATTCAGTTTTCGAGCTCGCATTTTGGCTCGTTGTGCATAATTCTAGTGATTGATTGTC